AACTCTTGGAATTTGGGAGTCTCGGAATCTGGGATTTTTTGAATTTTCATTCCAAGCTTTTTGGAACTGCGGGCTTAAAAGGGATACAGCCGAGAAATCTCATGGGTGATCTGTTATTGCTTTTTGTTCGGAGGTTTCTGGGGACACTTCCTCACGCCACCCATTCACCCACCCCATGTCCAATCCCCTCGAACTTCTCCGGGATAGCGTACCTGAGCCCTAGTTAGGTAAAGCTTGGGTGTGGGGAGGGTACCATCTGCTTATCTGTTCAAGTATTGATGGGGTGTTGAATGAAAATTGGTGGGTCCTGATTCGCGAGTCAGACGAATAAGGGTTATGACGGATGTAGGTCCACATTTGAGGGCACCCAATTATTGAAACCCTTACATGATTCCTGCACCATGTGGTATCATTGGTGGGGTCGGTTCTGGTTCTGTTCGTCCAGAAAAAGGCAGCAATGGGGACTAGTTAGGGAAAAACCAAGCGATAGCCGGGCAATAGCCTATTGTTTAGAGCAATTGCTAATTAAGACAACATTGTCGTTTCGTCGCATACCTACCGAAGCGGGGAAGCGATCATGAGGGTTGACATGAGTACTCACATGGAGAGCTATCCTCTGCTGCAATGTGCTTTGGAAGGGGTGCTGCATCTAAGCATGTTCCCTTTAGGGTTTAGACTTCAGTTGTTGGGTGAGGTTTTCGGGTTCGGTGTGGTGTTATTGTACTCTGAAGTCTCCATCCCCAGTTGCAGAGACTTCATCATGCGGTGCGTTGCCTGAAGGTTTCAAGGGCTCTGAACAGGGATCAAGACTGGACGACACCTGAGCATGGCATCGTTCCCTCCATCTATCTTTCCCTCCCTCCTTCTCATCTTTTTGCGCTCTTCCCCCCAGTTGACCTCTCGTTTTAACCCCTTTGCAACCCGCAAGGCCCAACACACTTTCAATTAAGGGATATACCCTGAATGACACCAGGATCCTAATATGGCTTATAAGGCCTAGTCCTCAATTTCCGGGCATCGGCCTTCCAAATATGATTTCTATGAGGTGTCCTCCTGGATTTCGTGCCAAAGGCCTCTTTGAGGAATACATGGCTGTTGCGTTGGCTCGATCAGACGCGCAGCATCCTATTCGTAAAGTCGCCGGGACAGCTTTGATGCTGTGCTGCCATAACTCCCTGCATTACGGTTCTTATTCTTGTTATTATTATCGACATTACTACTTGCGGTCCAGCCCAACGCCTCACAAGTGGCAGATCATGTCGGAGATAGTGCAGAAGGCGTAGGCTCATATCAACAATCGTCGATTTTCCCTTCAGTATACCCAGCGAGCATGTGATTACACACATAATGTATTTATACATATGCGCATATGGTAGTTTCCTCAAAAAAGGTGACCCCAATATGGACCCCAATATATTATAATCCTTATTATGGGGACCCCCAAAAAGGTACCCATAACTCTGGGAACCCCCCATATGAGTAGTATCTTATTTGGGGATACTATGGTAGCCAATATAGGGTAAGATTCTATCCTCCTTTTGGGGTATAGTCTTTTATACAATGAATATTATCTTACTAGGTTCAACCACCAAAAAAAACGCCACTCATATGTAGTTATGATGTTATTTGCTTAGTTATTCAGGCCCTGCAAGAGCACCCTAAACCCTAAACCCTAAACCCATAGAATCCCTGGGCCTCGCAGCCTTTTCGGCAGGCACTTCCTCGGAAGCTCCAAATCACCTGTGCCACAAAGGTTTAGGGCTTAGGGCACAGTCCAAATTCCTTAAAGGGGGTTTATATAGGGGACTACTATGGGGGCTATCAAGGGGGAAACTAGGAGTTTAGACTCTGAGTATAATTACTGTAGTACCACCATGCCATAATGCACAAGGTTTGTGGCCCTAAGGGCCATGCAGGACTATTAGTATCAACCTCAGGGTTATTCTTCTATCTGTGGGATATCCTTCGGGGTTTAGGGTTTTCGGGGGGGAGGCTACAAGAGTAATGATATCGCACCCGAAAAGCTGAAAAGTAAGTAGACATTAATGAGGGATTTAGTTACCCCGACCACTATAATACGGACGCTAACCCCTTGCTAACAAATACCACCAATATAGTACGATTGTTAATGACTTGTTAATGACGTGGCTGGGGTTTGGAGTTTAGGGTGTTAATCGTGAGGTGGAGGGGGGGGGGTGCTCAACTTGAGTAGCATGGAAAGTAGCATCTGTAGTCCCCAGTAGTATAGGGTATGATAACATAGCCTTTCTAAGAAGCATGTCCTCTTACTTCCTTCAACCACTACGACTCACCTGCAGTTTTTTTGGACGTGGGAGTCTAGGTGTGTACATTCCTCATTTTTGCTGCGGGGGGGGGGGGATTTGGTTCGTAGCAAAGTTTTCGATGGTTTCACAGTGTCATCGACTTTCTTTGCTTGGCTTGAGAAGCTCTCAGCGTCTCCATGCCACTAAGCTCTCCAGCCCTCGCGCTCTTTGAAACCGTAAACTTGCGTACTGAGGAGAGCAGCGTTCGTTGAAAAGGGCAAGAGGTGTCGGATCAACGTGGCATAGCATCAGCTGTATGTCTGCAATCATGCCTCCGAACCCTAAATCTTTTCTGGGTAACCCCTGTTGCGGATTGTCACACAGATCTCTGCGGAATGGGCAGTAGTCCGGGCCTTTTGGGTCTGAGGTTCTTATGTCTCTACAAAAACGCTAGGAAGAGAAGGATTGAGCGGTGGCCTGTTTGCGGGCAAGACCACTAGAGCGCGCCCGTCTTCCGCAGGACTGCGATGCACTTGCGTCACGAGCAGTCATGCGCACTTTCTAAGTCTAAAAGAGCATTTCATGGTTTCTCACATATGGGAACATTGCGGATGTTGGAAGCTGGTGACTGACTGGTGGGCTGAGACCACGGACGCAGTTGCATTGGCAAGCCCTTCTCTGGAGCGGGGACGCTTGCCCTGGCTGCTGGCTGCGTTCAACATCATCATTTCGATAGACACGGGCTTGTTCTTGCATTGGTCTCGTGACCGCATTTCAAGGTTCAAAGCTACCCTCCACGCACAAATTCTCATCTTTGCCTCTCTGCAGCTGTGCTTGGCATTGTGCACTCTTCCGGTGCTCCTGATGGCAAAGTTGGCTCGCAACCACATATTGAAAGTTGAGATTGCTAGTTTGCTGGCCTTCTCGTTTGATATGAGGGTCATTCTGCTATGTGGCACGGGTAGCTATGAAAGCCTTATTTGGCTATGCTACCTCCTGGCTTTGATGGTGATGAAAGTCCATCCGCTTGCGGTTTTCGCAGGGCTTGCAGTGTTCATTCCGAGCATTCTGGAAGCCAAGGATATGTCCTTTATGTTGCTCCTTCCCCTGCAGTATATTTATTCGGTGAACTTCAGGACTCAGAACTTACTCACCTCCATTTTCGTGTTGGAGACCTTTGCAGTGACCTCATGCGTTTGGTACTGCTATGCCTTCACCTGCAAAGTCAGAGCGGTCAGGGATGGAAACCTCTTCAGCAGTGGCGACTTCGACCCACAGGCTCAGTTTTCTAGCCTCTTCGTATAACCCAGAAGGAGACATCAGCAGCTTAAAAAAATCTACTGTCATTAATCTCCTTGCGCTAGTAATACGGCATCAAGAGTATTTTCAACCAGAGTAGAGAATTTACAGCCAAGGCCAGAACGTAGAACTTACAACTGGCAGAACAGAGAATTTACAACCGCAGTATTTTTTGGCATTTGTCGGGAATATGCGAGATACGTGGCCTTTAAGCTTGAAGGAAGAATGATTGTTTGTATTGTGCACTCCAGTCAGATCATATCCTTTCTCAAGCAAAAGGGTATCTTCAGCTAGATGCGTTCAGGTTTGAGGGGTTTGGGCTTAGGGTTTTTGATGCTTTTCCTTTTTGGCATCCAACTCAAACAGGTCATCTTGTTTGACGCATGCTTCAAAAAGGACCCCTGGAATCCCATAAAGGAAGCTCTCATTTAGCCTTGCTTTTGTCGGGATCATACGGAGATTCTGGGGGGGAGGGGGGGGGGGGCGGTCCTTTTAAGGGGGATTCGGGGGTGCCTTTAAAGGATTGTATAGGGTCTCGTACCGTTTTGGCGTCTGTAGTGCTGATGATCACCAATTGCTGTAGGTAGAGACCCCATGCTTGATCGGAAGAATGACATGACATAGGTATACACCCATTAGTTCTGGGGAATGCTTAGGTTTTGCAACCCCTTGGTGGTGCAATCTCATAGATCTGCTTGTTGGCAACGCAGGAAAGTGCATTGGCAACCAACATGCTTTTGACGACATTTTAGCAGTTCTACACTACAGTCAACCAATCACTTTCTGGAAATCGGCTTATTAAAGTCAGTTAGTTCTCTATTCTGGCAACACCACCGGTTGCAGATTCTCCGTTCTCGTTTTATTTCTTTGCTCTGGTTGTAAGTTCACCTTTCTGGCTGTAAATTCTCCGCCCTAATTGTAAGTTCTACGGCATGCGGGGGGCTAATACCCTGCCCCACCCACTTCCACCCCTCATTAGGGGGTTGCGGGTCATCCTCGCGGGAGGATGAAGACTTCGTGTGTCTAAGTTGGCTGACAGGTTCAGCAACTGCTGGCTTCAAACTGCAGTAAACTTTGGCAGCGCCTCCTCCGATGGTGGCGGAGGTCCACAGACGGACTTTTTGCGACCTCTCCGATCCTTGGGAGGTGCCAAAAAATGTCCTGGGCCTGTGCACTGACAGTATCTGAGTTGCCCACTACAGTGGTTTTACCTTCTTGGGGTCCAATAGGTTTTGTATGCAACCAATACCAGGAGGAAGACTTTTTTTTTTGCAAGCTTCCGTGGAGACCCAGGTATGGGGAGGACACGGTGTCTGCATCTACCAAATCTGGCAGTTCCTTGTTGCTAGGTTGCATTTTGCGATAACTTTCCGTTACTGCTTTGCCAGGAGACTTGCTCATAAGTAGTTTCGGGTGTGCTTTCAAAGTATAACGGAGGATCGCATCCATGAGATGGAGTCCAAAGCTTGCTATGATGCAAAGGCGGCCTGGTTACAGGAGTATTCTCTCCTAGTCGCTGGTGCAATGATCTGCTACGGCTGCCTATGGCTGCTGAAGAGGGAGCTTGCATCAACAGGATGCGTCAGCCAGCTGCTGATGGAAGACTTGTGCTTGGCAACTTTGCTGCTCCTGCCCTGCTTTCTTCACAGATTTGTATTGCGTCTGCTGGCCAACTTGGCATTGGGATGCCACGATATGGATATCCACAACCTCTTTTTTGCTTGTTTGCCCTACGGCGACTTGCTTTTGATGCAGGTCGTTTTCGTGCTTGCAACAGCCCGAGCTCACCCTGCCATCGTGCTGGGCACCGTATCCATCGCTATGGCACTCCGGCTGCAAACGAACGCAACCGAAGCCGTTCGCCATGGACGCTTGATGGCCACATGTGGGCTCCTGCTCATAGCACAGCTTCTGGACTACCACAGCCTTATGCGTTCCTTCTGGGCTGCGGTTGAGAAGGCTCATGGCAGTGCTACAGGCATCTCCCAATGCAGATTCTGGCAGGCGCGCGGCCAGCCCCTCGTAGAACTCGCTGAACACGTTAACACAAGCACGAACGTTGCGGACAGTAGTGCTCAGTCCTGATTGCAGTCTCGCTATGCCAGCAGAAAAAAAACTCACTTCATGATATTGCCGCGATTTTGTAATCAATGTTGGGCGCGACATTTGTCCCGTCATATCATCTTATGGTTTGCACGAATATCATCATGATTGTAAACCCGTGCTCTCAAATGATGATGCACTGCAGCGTTAACCTAGAATCTGCAACTCGGGCTTGGAACAGCAACGGGCCAGTGAGCTCCTAGAAAATCAACTTGGCTACCTATTGTAGACCCGGGATTAGTAAACCCCGTCCCCTTAAAGGCCTTAGAATTCGGATCCCTAATGTAATCCCCACTGTAATCCCTATTGAATACTCATTATACTACATAGAAGTTTCCATGTTCTCTGCCATTATCCCTATATTCCCTCTTATAATCCCTATCAAAGGGATGGGGTGTATTCATCATGGGTCTACACTCAGCCTCATCGAAGGGAATTTCTGCGTGCATTGCTCATGTATCGCTCGTGGCATAGCCATGGGTCCTTGTAGCCGGCGCATGGATTTCTCAAAATGAGGGGAGTCCCTATACTACGGATTTTAATTAGTATTTTGAGGTTTATATTGGGGTCCACCTATTTTGGGAAATTACCACATCCTTACCCGAATCTGAAGTGCTCCCAGAATGTACTGAAGTCTCCTTCAAAGAGGCGTTTCTTCAGAACTTCCTGCTTTCGGGGTTCATTGTCGCCCCCATGGTTTCCGAGTATTACTGCTCTTTCTGTTACTTTTCAGGGGAACTTAACGTGGCTCAGGACTTTGCATGATTTGTTTTCGTTCGACGGGAAGGGGAAGTCCTCAACCGGCAAATTGCCAAGCAACAAGGCTGCACGCGAGCCATTGCAATAAGCATGCCGTACTCGGCTCAACAATCCTCAAAATGCCTTTGAAACATTGATCACCATTCGGGCTTGGGTAATAACCCCGCTGTCAGAATTTATGCAGGAGCGGTTCTATTTGTTGTTTCCCTTGCAAACGATAACCAATAAACAAAGAACGATAAG